GATGGGGTGTCAGGTATGTATCCACCATAACACTGTACAACAAGCAAGCACATGCAACACACCCACTTCATGTCCACACAGCTCTGACCTTGGCTGCTTTCTCTCACATCTCTTAGGCTTGGCTGGCTACAGGCTGGTCCTCCAGGGCCTTGGTTAGTTAGCCCATTGTAACTGGGCTCCTTTTGCATGTCTTTTACTGTCCTGGAACCAGCAGTTTCACCCGGGCATGTCCTTCTCAGGACAACGGCACAGTGAAGAAGCACAGGTGACGTGCAATTGTTTTCTCAGTAGGATCTGCTATCATTTTGGGAAAAGCAGACTGCTGGGAATAGAACCTATGGCTTCGGCTTCAGGCATTCTAAGCATGAGCTCCACCACTGAGCTGTACCCCCAACCCGGGGTCTGCTAACATCAGAACCAAGATAAATCACATGTCCAAATCCAGATCCAAGGGTAGAGACTAGATACCACCTAGGTATGTGATGAGAGAAATTTAATGCCACAGGGCAGACAGCAAGGGTAGACAGGTAAGAACTAGGTTAGGAATAAAATCAAGCTATAGCATGTGGTTAAGAGAAAATATACAGGAAAAAATATATACATGACCAAGCTCCTTAAGTATGACCTTTATGATCTGGCCAGCTTGGACTGCAACTCGAGCTTCCTGTTTCCTTTCCTACCAGTATCTCCCTCTGCCTCTCACTGTGTGGTAGAAGTGTTCTTTCACTTCCTACTTAGGCCCACTTATCTCCACCCACAAGGCCCCTAATGCCTGTATTTAACCTAAAATTTGTCCAGTAAATACTCCATTCCTCAGGCTCAACTTGGCCTTCAACTGCTCTGGCAAGCCTCTCTAAACTCTAGAACCTGGGTTACGGGCCCATCTGCAATCATCAAGAGCCTCTTCTCAGGCCTGCTGGCACTTACAGTTCTTGCTGTCATTTATGGTCCATCTGTGTCCTATCCGCTAGATTGTGTCATCCGAGGGAGTAGGGACTGCGGCCCCAGAGTCCACCAAGGCCTCTTGCTCAGAGCACCGAAGTCTGTAAATGTTTCTGGAACGAAGCTGCTGTCGCCTTGGCGTACATGCGATTGGAAGAAAAGGGACAGGGAGCAGACAGCCAAGAGTGCATTTAAGAAGAGAAGGGGAAGTTTCCCCCTAAAACACTTGAGTAGGAATCATGTAGCTGGGAGGCCTTAAACGCTAAAAAGAACTTGTTGATGATGCAGCTGGAACTAGCACCACAGGAATTCCTGAGAAAGAGCACGTGTGGGAGATTCATTTCTAGAGATACTCAGAGCAGTGCCGTCCAACAGAAGTACAACGTAAGTCACGAATGTGGGGCCACTTAATGCAACTGTATATTTTCTGGAAACCATGCTGTAAAAAGCAACAATATAAACAGGTGAAGTTTACCTAATGACATCTTTTAGTTATCCCATTCTAACCCAAATAATATCATTTCAACATACAATCAATACAAAAATTAGTAATAAGATATCTTACATTATTTTTATGTTATTTCTTTGAATTCCAATATGTGCTTTATAGTTAAAACACATCTTAACTGGAAGCACCCAGATTCCCAGGGCTCAATAGCCTCAGTGGCTAGTGACTACCATATTGAACATTTCAGTTCTGAGAGCACCGAAATCATCTGGGACTAATCCAGGATGATAATAGTGATGAACATGATGGCAGTGCTGAGAATTGCGAGAAAGGCAAAAGCGTGACATTCCCCTGGCAGAATTAGTGTGTCAGCTTATCTGAGAGGGAGCCTTAGCACTGAAATGTATACTTACACATTTGGCCTTCGGTCTGCATTGGGAAGGAGAATCAGTTCACATGCAAGCTGTGATTTTGTTCAGATTTCTGTTCTCAAAGATGACTATTTGTTAGTGAAGTCTACCACCTCTATCCAAGCCATGAAAATAATGAAAATACTTTCTGATTCCTAGAGTAGCATGCAGGATTTATGAAATGTAAGCATATTTGGTAGAATTCAAATTCATTTTTATGTAACGGGTCACAGGCAATTCAATTCAACAGCCATTAAATGAGTTCCGCATACTTGGAAGCTTCAACTACTGAAAAATTGTCCCTGGGAGAAGAGTAAACTAAAGCATAACTTATTAATCTGCTAGTGATTCTCCTGGTTATATAATTAGCTAAGTGCTAACTGACTTACACTACAGTATACATGTATGATATAAAAGTATATGGGTATATTCATTAGACCTCTTGTTAAGAGATAGATAAAGGTTATCTATTCTAAGTGTCCTTCCTGCTCTAGTTTTTTCATTTCTATGGAAGAAAATATTGAAAAAGAAGAAAAGACTTGTCTAAGTGTACTCAACGGAAGATCAGGGAGATTTCTGGTTTTTTCCTTTTCCCAGGCAAAGTGTTTCTGCTGGGGTTTGCTTAGTTTACATAACACCCTGAGTTGTACAGACTTTGCTCATTTGATTGCGCCCATTTAACATGGAAAAGCACAAACATTCATACACATTAAGTTACCGTTAAAGACATGTCTGGGTGCAGCTCCTGCCTGGCAGGCGCAAGGCGCTGAGTTCAATTCCCAGTACCAAAAAAAAAAAAAAAAAGACATTTCTGTGACTATTTGTATAATTCAATGAAAAAACATGTTAGTGTATTAAATAATTTCCTATTTATGGGGCTATTTTAAGTGCATGTTTCCACAACATGAATTTCAAGCAAAGACCGCAAAGCTCTTACCGCTAACTTTGACTTGTTCCCAAACTGCATGTTCACATTAGCAGATAACTCTCTTACTTTTAGGAGCATCTTTAGCATAACTTTTTAACTGATCTGGATTGACTGTCTAGACTGTTTCAAGTTCCCTGGATAATTTCTTAACTCCCTCTGTACTCTGACAGTATACATGTGACCTTAAGCTAAGTTAAATTTCTATCCTACTAAATGCTTTGCATACACTCCATACAGCACTTCACACTGGAGGGTTTGCTTTAAGTGTATAGGGGACAAAATTCCCTGTTGAGAAATATTAAATACCACTTATCTGAGATTATCGGGTTACATAAGTGCACATTTCCAGCTTTTTCTTTCTGAAAATGAATCCACCGCTATTGAAATTTAAAGAAATGTATGCATTTTTAATCAAATCAATACACATTAGCTATAACAAGCACACAATCCATTTTGAGCTGTGTGTTATGTTTTTTTTTAAAGCAGGTAAAATCACTGCAGGTCAAGAAACAAGTATTGGAAGTTATATATGTATGTATTTTATACATACACGAATAATGTGATTTCACAAAGAGCATCTGACAAATCGGAAGGATTTGACAAAATCAGGAACACCTTGGAATAGGTTGCTTACCTTCAGAACATTCGCTCAGCTTTTTCACATGATAATATGAACAACTAAGAACCCATGAATTATTTGAAAGGGCATTTGCTTTCCCTAAACTCAGCTCACAGGAAGCGAGGACTGAAAGTTGAAACCCTTAGACTAGGCAGAGTCCCAAACTTAACACTACAGACTTTGTTTTCTTTTATAATGTATCACCCTCTGAAAAGTAGAGATAAGTATTCCATGACTTACACTGGCTATATATAGACAGGTAAAGGATCTTGGATATACTCTAATCCTGCTCTTTCTATTGCAGATCCACAGCAGAACCTAAGACACACATCCAGCTACTAGCACCCCTTGATATAAACTTCCTTGAATTTGATAATCTCTTAAAATTCTATAGAATTTGATTTTATCACCCAACTAATATTTGTAAAGCTGTCCATAAATGCAATGGGTTTGTCCTTTCGGCTCTGAGGCATTGAGGGTAGCTTTAGCTTTCTCAGATTAGTGAGCAAGTCTGTATTCACCCTTCTCAGACCTTCGTGACTTCGTAGACTTCAATCACACCCCCGCCAGCCTTCATCTTTCATATTATTCCATCCAAACTAAAGACATCTGAGGATCTGAAACATTTGGAAGCATTCCCTTTCATTTCCAGCCAAGACAAAAATAGAGGGTTCCATTGTGCTCTCAAGGAAAAAAAAAAAAAAAATCAATGTATTTGGTACTTGGGACTGTCTCAAAAAATGGGCTCTTACAAAATATATCTATCTCTGCAGAAAGAATACCAACACAAGCCAGTCGGACCTCCAAGAGACCCAAATACAAACATCTACAACCACTGTCACAGTGAAAAGATCGCTCTGACTGGCAGAAACCTTTCAGAAGTGAGGACGCGCTGACTCATTTCCTGCTCGGTAGGTGCTAAGGGAAACGTGTTGCCAGAAGAGGAAAGGTTCATTGTCTCAAAATATTTCTCCCACAAAGTATTTCTTCTTTATCTTCTTCCGTATAGACGCGCCTGACTTCTTTGAGTAAACAGACAGTATGGGTTTTTTCCAGATAATTTTTCTTTTAGCATGGACTATAAAACGCAACCGCCTAGAAGCTGACTTACCGGTTTTCTAGATCTCACCATGAATTGCTTTTAATCAGCCTGCTGTCCTTACTAATACTCAGAGAAGAGTAAAACAACCATGGGTTTTGAACGGGAGAATAAAAACTAGAAGCACTGGGCAGGGACAGGAAGCTCAGCTTTAAACTCTGGGTGAGCAGTGTGCAATGTGAGCTCCACGCTCTGTGGCCCTTCGGTAGGGGTTAGCAGAGGAGAAAACCCAACAAGCGACAGAGGGATGTAGGATGCAACCCCTCTCTCTTTCTCTGCTGATTAATATTAGCCAGCAAATTTTTCCTCCTTATCAGTCATGCCTGTTGTTGGCTCACAAAAGCCTTCGTAGCAAAAGCACGGGCCTTCCCATAACTAGTTGACTGTCTCTTGATCGAGCACAGAGCCACTAGGATGAAAGTTCCATCTATGAAATGAGAGATTGGAGCCTCCATAGCTATAAATACTGCAGTCCTATCTCGGTCTCCTGTTAGTGTATTATACTGAAAGTCGCCCAAATATTAACACTTGGTGTATACGCAGCAGATCTTGGCAGGAAGTGGGAAGGCTTCGTTTCTGTTTGCTTAATTTCATTTGCAAACTGGGTTCTGCACTGTCATGAAAAGTAAAGCATTTATTCATTCAACATCTATCGAGAACTAAATATATGCCAAGAACTAGAGGAACAGACATGAATGTTGACATATGAATGGGGTCCTGTGGGATTTCACAGTGCAGAAGAGGAACAATAAAATTATTTTTGATAGCTAGCTAACTTATAATGAGCAGCCAGTATACGGCAGGCACCTTACCAGGACTATTCCATCAACTCTCCATACCAGCTCTCTGAAGTCAGGACTAGTGAGGTCTTCAGTTGACAAATGAAGAAATTGAGTCTCAAGGAGTTCACTGACTTGTTTAAAATCACACAGACAGCAGCTGGGCGTGGTGGCACCCACCTGTAATCCCAGCACTCAGGAGGCTGAGGCAGGAGAATCACTTTGAGTTCAAGACCAGCCTGGGCTACAAAGTGAGTTCAAGGCCAGCCTGAACTGCATAGTGAAACCCTGTCGCAAAAAAGAGAATTAATTAATTAATTAAAGTCAAGCAGGTAGTAACTTGTGGAGTTAGGACTTTAGCTTTTGGATTTCAACTTGCCTGCCCTCCTTGTTGGGCTACTTTCTAGGAGTACTTGCAGCAGTAAACGTACCTGTAGGACGCGGTGGAAGCAGAGACAGGAAACACAAGACCCACAACTTCAGAAAATTCCAGAAAAAATTTTTGTTGGATTTTCTTTGGAGAAAAAAATAAAACAAGAATGTTTCCCCCAGTGTTGACTTATCAGATACATTTCAATTAAATATTATTGACCTTGTATAGCATAAATATTAACATTGAGAAGACTTTTATTCATTAAAGGAAAAGGGACTTGGGATCTAAGGACATTCATCCACTTTGGAAACTATTTACTCAAGTTATTTATTTTAATTAAACACAAACTATAAAACTATGAAGACAAGTTATCATGAGGACAATTTTGAGGAAGTACAGAGTCTTGGATTAAAGGATGAATTTAATGACTTCACAGATAGTGTTTAACAAGCCATGGAAAGGTATTTCTTCTTAGAGCTCTCTTGATTGTGTTTCAATAAAGGAAAAAAATTAAAGGAACGTGATTTTGCTTCACTTTTTAAAAAAGGAGCAAGAGAAGTAGGAAAGGTTTTCTTCAACACCAACCTGAAACTTTGTCAACAGTGAAGTTTACTCTTGATATCCTGGCCAACCTCGTCTGACCTCTGTCATTTTCCCTAAGTGAAGTTCCCAGTTCCAACTCCACCTTCTCCCACTGTTAGATTATGATTAATTAAAAATCAAAGAGGAAGTTCAAAACAGACAGTAAAAACGGATTTGCCCAGATGTGGGGGTCAAAGACCAAGACCCAGAATTTCATTGCCCACTATCTTGCCCTTGGGATGCTACAAAATCCAGCCATCAGTGTGACCTCTACAGCACACTAAGATTATGGACCACTTTGTCACTGGAAGTTGGGTGGCGAGGAGGCCAGAGTACACAACAAAGCTTCACAGGGCCTGCCCGTACACAATTAAGACAAAAGGTATTGACAACCTCACTTTCTCCACCAATCCTCCTCACACAGTCCCACCAAAACCCATCAGAGTTGTAAGCTGTTGTGGTTTGTGTCTAGATGTCCCCCCAAAGCATCATACAGTGACAGAGGTGGCTGAATCTAGAATATGATTGATTTGTAGTGCAATGATGGGATTAAGAGTGCTGGGATTAAGGGTGGGTGATTGCTAGATCAGTCCACTGATTGGATTGGCACTGCCCTAATCCCACTAGGCTGGATACAACATAAGGGACAGAAAGAGTCTTGTCTCTCTTTCTCTCTCCTGTTGCTTTTGCTGTCTTCTGCTGCCGTAAACTGTTGCCCCACCTCCCTGCCTTGGAGCCAGCCAATTATGGACTGAAACCACTACAAATTCTGAGTTAAGTAAACCTTTCTCCCTTTAACTTTGGGTGTCAGGTATTTTGTCTCAGCAATGAGAGAAAAATAAGTAAGACATGAGCTATGTCTGACCTTGAAAACAGTTCTCAGGTCATTGGGCAAAATCTACAGTTTGAAAGTCTATCTAGTGGCTAAATGGTGTGCTAGTAAGTTAAGAGCTTTTAGACTGACTCCTGTCACCTTTACTCACTTAAGTGGTGGCCTGACCCCCACTTCCACAAACCCCAGGAGAGAACTTACTTTCCCTACTTTTACCTACCCATGTCCCAGACAGTTATCTATAATCATCTTTTTATATCACTTTAACTACAAGATTTCATGATTCCAGGGCCTGGGATATAGCTCAGTGGCACAAGTGCCTCCTGGCAAGCGCAAGGTCCTGAATTCCATTCCCGATACAAAAAAAAGATTTCATGATTCCAGAAAAATGTTCAGTTGAAGTAGTAGGGCTAACAAAGAAAAAAAACTATAGAAATGAAAAAGTATTTGTTAAATTTAACACAAAGAAAGAAATTTGAATATTCTAATGAGTTAAACAAAGGTTGCATGGAATCCCCTTTCCATAGCAGACTTTGAGGGTAAACTCATGCTGCCTTTGACGCTAGAAGATTGGACTTGCTTGTTTCTTGAGCTCCTTCCTCTCTAAGGACAATTTTGTGGATACCTTAATTCAGTGTTTCTCTAAATGAGCTCAGAGACCATCACCTCAGAATTTTTTAAAGTCTTCTTAAATATTAACAGTCCTGAACTTCATTTCAAAATGTCAATTTTCACTAAACCTCATAGGTGTATTTATGCATCTTAAAACTTAAGAACAACCACCGGAGATCATTTTGTTAAATGAAATAAGTCAGGCACCAAAACTCAAATTCTGCGTGTTCCTTCTCATTTGTGGAAACTAAAAAGTCAACCTGAAAGAAGAATGAAAATGAATAATGGTCTCTAGAGACTTGCAAGGGGTAGAGAGAGGGAGAAAGGACAGAAGTTCAAAAAAGGGCCCCAAAACACAAAAAGAAGGAATTAGCTCTGGTTTTTTTATAGCACAGTAGGTTGACCATTGATTAAATCAATCTCATAGGTTTTTAAATGATTAGAAAATAAGAGTACAATTCCAACAGACAAACACAAATATTTGAAGAGCTAGAAATGTTTATTACACTTATTTGATTATTATGCATTGTATACATGTATCAAGAAACCATAAAGTACCGCATAATGTTGTCTGAATATTATATTCAATAAAAACATTTTTTAAGACCTCCAGAGAGCATTGTTGGGTCTTACTAACCAATTGCAAATCTGTTATCTAGGTAGAAATTTTGGACACCAAAAATTGGCCTTTGTGTTAAAACCACATTATAATACCAAAGACCTCGGTCGAAGCAAAGTGTTCTAATAAAATATCTCTTTTAAATGCTGAAGCAAACTAAACTCATTATAGAACATTTAAACTCTAAATATTATGGGTTGTATCTAGATGTCCCTACAAAGCCTCCTATAGGTGAGGCTTTTAGGAGGTGACCGGATGTTTTCTTTGCTGTTAGGTGGCAGTGTCTGGCTGGCAGAGGCAGGTCACTGCAGGCATGGCCTGGAGGGCTCCATCTCCCTTCTCTGCTCCTCCTTGATCTCTCTCTCTGATTCCCGCTGCCATGGCATAAGTAATTCTCTTCCAAGCCATTCTGCCTCAGATCCAGCTAACTACAGACTGAAACCTCTATAAACTGACCCAGGATAAACCTTCCCTCCTTTACATTGTGGGTGTCTGCTGTTGCGTCTGTGACAGGAAAGTCACTAAGGCACTCAGAATATACTGATCCATTCCTCCCACTTTTCAGAAGAGGAAATTGGGTAGGAATGACTCACCTTCCCCAAGGTTGGAGAACCAGAAGGGTAAACAGGAGGCTCCTGCGCCATTGTTCTTTCTAGCTTGCAAGGTGAATTTCTACCTGTGCAAAACATTTCTAAGCCACTTCTAAAACACATGACTTTAACAACTGCTCTTGTGATGCATAATACTACATGTACCACGGGGATACCATAATACTACATGTACCATGGGGATTGGGTACATATGCACATTAAATCTCCACCCTCTTGACTTCCCCTTCTCCTCCTCTCCCTCCCTCCGCTCCTAACCCTAGGTCCCCTTTTCTTAAATCTGTTTTAATGACTGATTAAAATTCATTCTACACACAAAAATAAGAAAGTACAATATAGACTGCTCAGTGTTATAACTCATGTTTAAAAATATTTACCAAAGTAATCCTTTGGTAGCCAGTTTGAGT